GTCTTGCTTGGATGAAAGCCGGGTAAGTACGTAGCCACAGTGATATTTGACCTCTCTTCAGGGTTATTGCCTTAGTGGGTTGAACATCCAAGTGACTGACGTGTTCGTGGGTTGCTTTCAGGAATGACCCTTATAAACCATCCCCCCTTATGTATTTCAAAAAATAAAGCCCCGGAATCCTCTAAAACCCTCCGGCACCCTCCGTGAAATCTGCTTTGAACCACCCCAGAGCCTATCTGGGCCAGTTTCTGAAGCGAATGGTTAAAGAGCAATCAACGCTTCGAAAATTGTAGGGAACCAAAGCTTGGGATGGGCCAGGTGTGTCAGGGTGTTGATTCTTTGGGTGATTGTTCACCTGCTTCGGGCAGCTGATCCATCAGGATTCAAAGCTATAGTTGTTCCACAAACCTTCACAATTCCTCGGATCATTCATTCATTCATTCTCGCTCACGTTGATTTGTTCGCAATTCAGATTCACTTACCGAGTCAAGCTACTCACTGAAAGTAGACGGCTTGCCACTTTCCCCCAGTTTCGTCGCCGAGTCCCATTCCCACCTTTGGGGACGGCGCTGTGCAGGCCTCAAGGCCGCGGAGTTGTCCAACAGGCCCGTTTTTGGGTCTTAACCGTTTCGAGGTGTCGGTGTGCTCTTTATGGTTTCGACGTGTGTTGATTGTTTGTAGTTCTTGCGCGCTTGCTTGCTTGATTGGCTTTGTTGGTTGATTGTTGGCTTGTGTTGCTTTGCTTTTCTTTGCTTTGCTTGCTTGCGCGCTTTCTTCTTTTGTTTCTTGCTTGGCTCATGCTTTTGGGGGCTGGGCTTCTGTTTTGCAGCCTTCTTCTGTACCGAGCACTCCCTACCACCCTTCTTTGCTCTTGGCATGCGTTTGGTTCCTTTCTTGCTCGACGCTGTTCACGCTTAGTAGCCCGCTGCAAAAGAGCCACTGCTTCTTTTTTTGTTTGCCGAGAATAGCAGGGGAATAGAACCCCTTGCTCGAAGTCTTTCTCCAAGCTAAGCCTTGAAGCTTTTATGGTAGGGGTCAGCCAGCGCTTGCGCTGCACTTTTGATCCACCTTTCCTGGGGTTCAAAGCTTGGCCGTCCTTTCAATTTCAGAAAGCTGCCCGAAAGGAACTTGTGGGAAATTGGGTTAGGTTGCCTTTCTGGGAGGGTGCCAATAGGAATTGAACGCAATTGGAATCAACGGCCATAGGCGATCCCAAGGCCGAGGTTCACAAGTTGAGGTTCGGATCAAGGGCAGGCGATCCAGACCAAAAGGCAGATCCAGACCGATCCAGACATGTAGATCACACGCGGAAGGATCGAGCCCGTGTCCTGACCCTTGCACAAAAAAAGAAGAAGAAAGGAAGCAACCCACTGGTTGCAACTGGTTGAGCCCTTGTCCTGACCCTTGCCCCCCTCCAAAAAAAAACGGAACAAAGGCAGCAACTTACTGGTTTCGACTGGTTGAGCCCGTGTCCTGACCCTTGCCAAAAAAAAGGAACAAAGGAAGCAACCCACTGGTTGCAACTGGTTGAGCCCGTGTCCTGACCCTTGCCCAAAAAGAAAGAACAGAGGAAGCAACCCACTGGTTGCAATTGAGCCCGTGTCCTGACCCTTGCCCAAATAAAAGAACAGAGGAAGCACCCCACTGGTTGCAACTGGTTGAGCCCGTGTCCTGACCCTTGCCCAAAAAGAAAGAACAGAGGAAGCAACCCACTGGTTGCAACTGGTTGAGCCCGTGTCCTGACCCTTGCCAAAAAAAGGAACAAAGGAAGCAACCCACTGGTTGCAACTGGTTGAGCCCGTGTTCTGACACTTGCCCAAAAGAAAGAACAGAGGAAGCAACCCACTGGTTGCAACTGGTTGAGCCCGTGTCCTGACCCTTGCCCAAAAAAAAAGAACAGAGGAAGCAACCCACTTGTTGCAACTGGTTGAGCCCGTGTCCTGACCCTTGCCAAAAAAAAGAACAAAGGAAGCAACCCACTGGTTGCAACTGGTTGAGCCCGTGTCCTGACCCTTGCCCAAAAAAAAGAACAGAGGAAGCAACCCACTGGTTGCAACTGGTTGAGCCCGTGTCCTGACCCTTGCCCAAAACAAAGAACAGAGGAAGCAACCCACTGGTTGCAACTGGTTGAGCCCGTGTCCTGACCCTTGCCAAAAAAAAAGAACAAAGGAAGCAACCCACTGGTTGCAACTGGTTGAGCCCGTTTCCTGACCCTTGCCCAAAAAAAAGTACAAAGGAAGCAACCCACTGGTTGCAACTGGTTGAGCCCGTGTCCTGACCCTCGCCCGCCCCCCCCCAAAAAAAAAAACAATCAAAAAGAACGGAACAAAGGAAGCAACTTACTGGTTTCAACTTTCAACCAGTGCCAAAAAGAGGGAACACAGGACGCAACCCACTAGTTGCAACTGGTTGAGCCCGTGTCCTGACCCTTGCCAAAAAAAAAGGAACAAAGGAAGCAACCCACTGGTTGCAACTGGTTGAGCCCGTGTCCTGACCCTTGCCAAAAAAATGGAAGAACGGAAGCAACCCACTGGTTGCAACTGGTTGAGCCCGTGTCCTGACCCTTGCCAAAAAAAAGAAGAAAGGAAGCTACCCACTGGTTGCAACTGGTAGCCCGTGTCCTGATCCTTCAAAGGGGGTTGGATGGGACAACAAAAAGGGAACCCGGGCCCATGCATTTCCCTTCAACTGCAGGTGATGGGGACCTTGGGGATTTCTCATGAGTCATGGAACCATGGAGAACATCAACCCCTCAGCCCTCAGAAACAACTTTTTTCGAGGGCCCGACAGAAAGTTGCGACCCTTGGAAACCTTTAAATAAAGGGGATGGATGTGTTTCCCCCCCCCCCCGTTTTTTCCTTTCTTTTTTTTTTTCCTTCGAGGCCTGGCTTACTTTTGTTTGCCCATATTTCATGTCTGAGTCCAATTGTTTGCGTCGTGTTTCTGAGTCCTTTTTGTGTGAGGCCTTTTTATGAGGCTTTGGTGTGAAGTTTCTTTCATATGTCTTGTTTGCTGAGTTTGGTCCGAGTCATACCTTTTCTGTTTTTTTTTTCCTGAGTCCTTTTTGCTAAGCTGTTTTCTCTGCTGAGGCTTTGGTCTGTCCTTTATTGTCAGGCGTTGGTCTGAGTCATATTTTTCCGAGTCCTTTATTGTCAGGCTTTGGTCTGAGTCATGATTTTCCGAGTCCTTTTTGCTGAGGCTTTGGTCTGAGTCATGTTTTTTCCGAGTCCTTTATTGTCAGGCTTTGGTCTGAGTCATGTTTTTTTCCAGTCCTTTTTGCTGAGGCTTTGGTCCGAGTCATGTTTTTCCGAGTCCTTTTTGCTGAGGCTTTGGTCTGAGTCATGTTTTTCCGAGTCCTTTATTGTCAGGCTTTGGTCTGAGTCATGTTTTTTTTTTTTTCTTTTCGAGTCCTTGTTGCTGAGGCTTTGGTCTGAGTCATGTTTTTCCGAGTCCTTTTTGCTGAGGCTTTGGTCTGAGTCATGTTTTTTCCGATCCTTTTTGCTGAGGCTTTGGTCTGAGTCATGTGTTTTTCCGAGTCCTTTATTGTCAGGCTTTGGTCTGAGTCATGTTTTTTTTTTTTTTTTTTTTTTTTTTTTTTTTTCGAGTCCTTTTTGCTGAGGCGTTTGTTTTTTTTTTTTTTTTCCCGAGTCCTTTATTGTCAGGCTTTGGTCTGAGTCATGTGATTTCGAGTCCTTTTTTCTGAGGCTTTGGTCTGAGTCATGTTTTTTTCTTCTTTTTTTCTGAGGTTTTTGTTGCTGATGCGTTGGTCTGATTCTTTTTTTTGAGGTTTTTTTTTGTGCTGAGAGTCATGGTTTTGTGAGTTGTTTTTGTTTTTCTGAGGTTTTCTTTTGCTGAGTCCATTTTTGTTTGCTCGCCCACTGTCCGATCTGATCGCAGGCTCCTGCAGCAGTCCAAGGCTTTGGCCGACACCCTGCGCTCTGCGGGGACCTTCAGTTCGTCTCACAGGGGCTAGCTGCACTTAGCTCTACTAGGGGTACCTATGGACAAATGGGTATGAGTCAAAATTAAACCACCAGGGGACCGCAGGTTTTAGTCTATGTTTCCATTTGCCAGGGCTCTAGTTTGGGTACCTATTTTTTGACCCATACCCAAATGGATGGCACTGGTAAATGGAACGCAACCCATCTAAACCAACGGAACCCATCTATCTAGGGCTACCTTCCATTTCCATTCTTTCCAGGTATCCTTTTTTCCAGAAAACCTCCAGACACCCAGGGAAAACGGATCTGATTTTTGAAAAGAACGATGATTGAACAGAATGGGGAATCAACCCCTGGATTGGTTCTCCAAAGGCGACGCGACCTTTTGACCTTCTGATTGTCCTATGGCCCATGTCTAGTGAATCCCGGGTCTCAAAAGGTGAGCTGAGCTTCTGTTTTTGGGTCCCAAAGGGGGCAACTGGTGTTCAACCCATCTCGAAGTATAGGCAGCGGGATTCGAGTCACAAGTCTATGGTCTATGGCCCATTGGATCAGATAAAAAAAAAAAAAAAAAAAAAAAAAAAAAAAAAAAAAAAAAAAAAATCCAAGGCCAAGACATCGCACACAAGTCATTTTGAGTGTGGCTGGTTTGGGCGCAGGGTTCAGGTTTGCTTGCCTTTCGGATCCTGTAAAGGATCAACCAATTTGCCAGATCGACATGGAGAAGCACATATTTTTTTGGAGCCTTCTTTTGTTTAACCTGGGGTTCGACTTTACATGAAGGTGTGAGGTTCTCAAGTGACTGGACAGGAGTTTCACCGGCCTTGGGACAGTTGGGTTACACGCTGGGAGTGGACTTTTGCAGGAACAAAGGAAAAAGAAGCATTGGAAATTCAATGAGACACCAATATATTTAATAAAACAAGCTGGTTTCTCAACTTGGTGCTTCGACCCCCTTCTTGGTTGGCTTTTTCGGGAGGCCGAGGGAAACCAACCATTTTTTAACCGGCGACCCCTCTCAGCTTTTCACGCGCTTATCGATAACTTATCGCCCGGCGAGCTGATTTGCGATCTGCCCGTCCGTCGCTTCATTTCCCATTTTTTGGCTCAAGCGGATCATCGGAGTCTTCAGCCTCAGAGGACCGTGTCAAGGAAGAGGGAGAGGGAGGGTGTCAAGGGGTTGTTCTGGGCCCATTCTTTCGAGGGATCCTTCTTTCGAGAAACCTCCAGAAACCCTGGGAAAACGGATCTGGTTTTTGAAAAGAAGGATGGCTGAAAAGACTGGGGAATCATCCCCTAGACTTGTGGGAACCAGCGGATTCACAACAGGCTTGGTATAAAAGTTGGTTTCCGAGGGAGTTGTGGGAGGGGCCTGTCCACTTTTGTGGTTAAGCGACCTGAACGGAGCCTTCGGGTTTTCAACCCTGGTGTGAAAGTGAAAGGTCGCAAAAAGTTTGTCCGCCTTTCCTTTGGTGCATTTTGCCAAGGGCTGCTAGGACTGAATAACTTTTTGCCAACTAATGGGTCTTCCACTAAACCACCAAAAGTTAAACACTTTTAGCAGGGGAGCAGAAAGCAACCGAGTTTCAATTCTGGGTCTCTAGGCGGCAACTGAGGTTGTGGGAACCGGTTTCGCAGATGCCCAGACCTCGTCATTCAGGCCTTCCTTTGGAAATGGTATCCTAGATAGGGAGGGTGGTGCCAATAAAAGTGAAGGAGTCCCACTACAAGGGGACACCCGCATCTCTCAAAATCAACCGGACTATGAAAGGTTTCCATCATGGTGGACGACTCAAGTGGGTTTACAGGGGGTCCTTAAAGGATATGCATGTTGAAAGTCAGCTAAACCCGCTGTTTTCATGTGGGTTTCTTTATGTGACCTGGCGATTATTTCATGTTTCAGGTTTCTCCGGAAGGGGAGCATTGCCTTTCTTTCTTTGGGTGAGTTGGTGGCATTGAGAGCGAGGAGCACCGAAGATGAGGTGCCCTTGACTTCCAGTTGAAACATTCCCATTCGGAACCCTCCAAGGTTTTGCATTTTCTGCCAGATGCTGGTTCTTTGGTTCCTGACGGGTTGGGGGTTACTTGTGCCTGCTCATTTTACACTTTAACTAAATGTGGACCAGAATCTGAAAGATGTGATTTCTGGCATACCCAAGGTCGCCAAGGAGACACCCCAAAACTGTAAACTGTTTTAGCTCCAAGCCGGAACCTTCAAAACTCCAATCCCGGGTCTCCAATCAGGGATCCCTACATGTTGCTGGCTTTTGAAGCATCACCCTAATCCCAGCCCCAACCCACCCCCAGCCCCCGAGCCCCGAACCCCCAACCCCGAACCCCCAACCCAAACCTTGCGGGCCATAGGCGGGTTCCTTTTGTGATTTCCCTTCAGGGGGATCTGGGTATGGGTCAAAATTAAACCACAAAAAAAACGCAGGTTTTAGTCTTTGGCTCCATTTACCAGGGTTCCATTTTGGATACCTATTTTTGACCCACAGCCATGTGGGCAGATCTTCCTCAGGCCATGGCGCCCGTGACGGACAACCGCGCCGTTGCAACGGAGATCGAAGGCCGAGTCGGCCGAGCTGGAGACTTCGAAGCAGGGCGGTTTGTTTTGCGAAAAAATGCCCATCCTCCTTGGTGGCAAGCCCAGCCCTCCGGTTCCAACAGCTGCTTTCAGCCTTTTTAGTTGGCTTAGTGGGTTTCCATTTGACCCACTGAAGGTTAAACTGTTAGTAGGGGATCTGAGGACAGCCCTGCTTCATTGATCCCAACAGGAAGCCAAAGGGTGGCTTCCGTTTGCTGAAACGAATACCTGTGATTTCCCCTTGTTGGTTTTTAAGGAGATCCATCACTACTGGAAATATTTTATGCTTTCCAGGGGCTTAAGCAAATGCAAGGTGGGGAGGTGTTAAACAAACATTTCCAGAACTCTTTGGACCCAGCTTTCCAACCCGCCGGCTTTGCACACTCGATTTGCCAGTGGTGGCGGTCCACGGGCCCTTTGGCGGATTGGGCCGCCATGAAAACTTGTTTTTGGGGGCATGTACTTTTATCATAACAGTTTGTAGTACGCCATTACCCAACGCGGTATTTGGCTCAAGCTTTTTACTCCGTCGATTCGACCTGCCATAACCGTCAAAATCGCTGGCAGCGGCGCCGTGCCGGTGCGTGGGTGTTCGAATCCCACGCCCCGGATTACGGCGGCTGGGTGGCTTTGGGTGTGGGTCAGGTTTGGGTTGGGAGTCGCATTGTTGCTGCTGCTCCGCTTTTGCTTGATTAATTGCTTTGCTCGCTTGCTTGCTGCGCTCGCTTGGTTGGCTGCGCTGGTCCCCTTTCCTGTTTGGGTTTTGCGGTTAAACAGGATCCCCCGTTTGTTATCTGTGTGGTTCTTTGCCAGCCGAGGGCACCACTTTGCCCTTGGGACTGGGGGGCTTAAACTGTCTCTTCTTGTTGGTGGGTTAGGGCCTGTTTATTCTCTCCCGAAATACTGTTTCAAACCCTTTCGCAGGTTATCAGCCGTAGGATTCGTCCTCGGTTGGCACCGCGAACCCCATTTAATAACAACCCTGCAGGCGCCGTTTTCCATAGGCTACTGTAGGACTCATGGCGGGAATCACTGAGGATGGACCTCATGTGGTGACCGATGAGTGGGTTCTCGGCCAGGCCGGAATCTTGGACGTTGTGAATGACGACCAAGTGCCCGGACAGCCGATGTTTTCCGGTCCTGACTTTTTGTCGGACCACTCTTTTTCAGAAGCAATGCCTTCAGGAAGGTCCAGTGCTACTCGCACTGATGACCTATCGTCTAATGCCTCAAGAGCTAATCGCTCTCAGGGTCATGGGGCTAATCGTCCTGACCATGATGATTCCGTCTCAGGACGTGATGATGACGAGCCCGGTATTGCACCTGGAGCTCAATCCTCATCTTTCCCGGAGCTGATGAATATTGGTCAGTCCGAGTTTCGTGACTCTCGAAGTAGCAGTAGACCTGTGCCAACCAGTAACATAGCTTTTCAAGTGCTCGGTAATCCCGAAGCTCGTACATCCAGTGGAGTTGCATTTGACGTTCATCTGCCGACCGAATCCGGTGGGCTCGATTGGAGAGCCTCATGGCCTAACGACGGAAACATTTTTGGTATGGATTTTGCCGCATGGATGCCAGGGCCACCCGCCCCGTCATCTTTTCCACAATTCCAAAGCCCAAAACGGGCTGCTGGAAGCGATGAATTCATGCTACCTTTGTCGATTGAGAATCTCAATCCTGACGTGGCCAGCCGTAACGTCAGGCCAAGGCCGTCGGTAAACCCGACCATGAGGAACATGTCCCCTCCCCCAGGACTTTCAGGATTTGAGAGCCCTAGGGAGCGTAATATCGTAGATAGATTGGATTTGCATCCCAGTCCAACCCCAAGCAAACGATCAAGGTCAAATTCGACTGGATCGTATAGGGCAAGGGGGATGGATCGGGAAACTGCCCACAGGGGTAACCCCAGTGCGCGGGACTCAGGACGCGGTCGATCAGGCGATCCCGCGTCGATTGTCGGTAGGGATCCGCTAAACGCGGACACGTTGATTAACGTGCTTGATGGGATCGAAGCATTCCAGGAGGAATTCAATAGGTCGAGTGGCCCGAATGTACAGCCTGTTCGCCCTACGCCCAAAGCGGCTTCCTTTCTCGCCATTGACAACACAGACGGAGCTGATGTTCCGATTGAGTCTGAGTCCATGATGGCATCAAGTTCCAATCACAACAACACTGTCAGCAGCGCTACCGATGTTGAATCAATGTCTGAGTCTAGAGCGTCCAATGCGACTGATTTGCATGACGTTGTCATTGCTGATATGAAGCCTGAAGTTCCTATGCGGACTGATAGGCCGGTAATTCCCAAATTGTTTGTGACAAAGGGTCTAGGCATGCCACAGCCATCAGTTGTTCGTGATGCCAGAAGATCTGCACCGTATCAGAGTCAGTCTCCGAATCGGAGCGAATTCCCACGGCCATCAACGGCGGTACAAGATGATTTCAGGACACCTCCGAGATCTAATCCGATCATGGTTGATTTGTCCACTCCTCGAGATCGTGGATCAGGGTTGGCCCTGCGAGTGAGGAGCAACCCAACGAGGTTGCTGATCTTGTAACTGCCCTTGAAAGAGGGAGAGTGGACTCTTCGGTAAGTGCGATCATTCATCGCCTGGTTGCTAAGGTCGAAGACCTTGGGCGTAGGAATGATAGAAGTGATCAATGCATCAAGCAGCTTTCCACTGAGGTTAACTCGTGGAGGGCCAAATACGACCAATGCGTCCATGTGAGTAGCACGTGTACGCAGGCTGCGAACGCGGCCATGCAGCTGTCACAAGGGACTAAGGACATCGTGACCGAGCTTGGCCAACGCGTCAAGATCGTTTCCAATCGCATGATAAGCATAGGCGATGCCCTAAATGAGCGAGCTAGCTATGATGATGTTGCTCGCTCCATCACCCAAGTTCAAACTGTTTTTGAATCTCTTTCTGATCGAGTAACCGGGCTTATAGCTCGTGTTGATATGATCGAGAGATCTCTAGTGGAGAGCCAGTCCAACCATCCTGCGATTGGTGGAGTTAACCTCAAAATCGAGGACCTGTCCACTAGGGTATGTCAGATTGATAGGATGATGCAGGATGTCGAACAATGCTGGACCAATAATAGGGACGGCATAAAGTGGGTTAAAGACCAACTTTATGAAACACAAGCCAACCTTGAGATAAAGTCAAGGGACTGCAAGTCCTACACGGACAAGCAAAATACTCATAACATGGCCGTTTCGACTACGCTCAACAGTAAGCTCGAGCAAATGCTCGAGGTGCTGGGTAATACGGCCCAGAGAATTAACTCCCTCGAGTCAAGGCACTCGAACCAGGCATCAAGTAGTGGATTGAACGATCGCACAGGAGGAAGGCGTGCCGCGTCCCGTACTCCGGATAAGCGGCCACCTCCACCTGGCCCTCCTGATGATGATCCTCCACCACCGCCTCCTCCAGATCGGCAAAGCCCAGGAGGAGGGGGGAAGAAGAGTGCTGCCGGTGGGAACCCTGGCGGCCCTGATAAACCCAGGTGTAAATACGTAGGTGATGGAAATAATCACCTCATGGCTGAGTTTCACTGCAAAGGATGCAGAGGTGATGTTTGTGGGTATTGTTTCTCGTTCAAGGAGAACTTGTGTGAAGAATGTTCCCGGAACGGACCCCGATGCGGTGTCTGTAGGGAGAGCTCGTTCCTGAGCAGGGGAATCAAGTGTCAGTTTTGTAGGACCTACTACTGCACCAGACATTCCGCTGGGCAGGATGACTACAGGAGATTTGGATTTGTCCAGGGTCCCTGTTGTCTTGCGTGCCTTAGGGACGAAACTAGGAGAAGAAGGATCCCGATGGTAACCGTGTCAGGGATAGATCTCCTGGAGGCGCACCTGAGCCTGAGACGAACCCGACGCGGTCGTACTCGCCGCCTCTGCGGCCACCCGTTGACAGATTCCGTGACACTCCCACTGGGGGTCAACCTAACGCGGCTGACCTTCAGAGCCCTCCGAAGGCTACGCAACCCATGCCCCTGGATAAACGTGAAACCGGATATTATCCAGGATTTGATCCCAACGGTACAAGGCCGAAGGATCCTTCAGGCCTTGAGCCGCCGACCATGCGTGGCCCCGATCCTCCTGACAAGAACTGTCGGATGTGTGATCGGGATATTCCTGACCCCAGCAAAATTGGGGAATGTAAGATATGCATGAAAAGGGCATGTGAGATTTGCATTCCAAAGGCTACTCGCCTTTGCCCTGTGTGTGCACTGTCAATCGGTAGCTCTCAGGTTCCACAGCATCTTTTCGGAACTGGTGGCGGCGGATACAGTAGCCACCATGATCCGAACTGTACAGCTGCGACTAAGTGCATTCCCATAGACCTCCCGCCAGAGCCCGACGCGGCTGGGCTGAGGGTATCTGAACTGGCAATTGTTCATGTTTTTAAAGTTTTTTTTTGCATTTTGCATTTTTCCAGTTTTTCGCGGGCATTTGTTGCTCGATTTATGTCGCTGAGGTTGACTTTAGAGAAGTTAATTGTTTGGGTTTCAAGTTGTTTTTCGGTGGGAAGGGGGGGGGCAGGACGGGACAATAATAATGCGCCTGTGTGCCCATTGTTGCGAAAGGCTTGATTCCTGCAGCATCGTTTTTCGCTGGCTGCTCGCCTTCGGAGAGTCGGAACGGAATTGTTTTTTTTCATCTCGTTTGTTGTTTGAGGGCTCGGTGGCTTGCCCCGCCCCACCCCCCCTCCTCCCAAGCCCATCAATGATTGACGTTGTTGCGTTTGCTTGCGCGGGTTCGGTGGCTTGCCCCGCCCGGCCCCCTTAAACAAATCCTTTCGCTGGTTTTGGCGGCATGCCCCATCCAGCAATAGGGTGCCCAGCTCCCCCTTCCTCCAAAGTGAAGCCCGCCAACGATTGAAGTTGTTGCATGTGCTTGTGCTTGCGGGTTCGGTGGCTTGCCCCGCCCGGCCCCTACGCCTTCTGCAAGCAAGAGGGAAGGCGTCTCAGGGCAAA